GTCTGCTTTTCTTGCCAAACTTTGACTTACGTTACTGCCAAATATACTGCTGTAAACATTCTAACTGGACTGCTTATTTGTGTTCTCTTTCTGCAATTTTACAGAAGTTCTACTTTAGCAGTAATCAACATAATACAGTTATCAATATAGTGCCCATAAACTCCAATGTGCTCACAAATTACTCTCTTGATGCTTATTAAGTCCCACGTCTTTAAATTTTCTACAAGACTCTTTATTATACATACACGCATGCACACATACACGCACACACGTACATATATGGAGAAAGCAGTCATGCTCCAAAACAAAACTCTCTCTTGAAGCAGGAATTTTATTTAGCCAGATGAATCTGACAGGCATTCTTGGAAAATAAAAACGGTGAACGGCTGCAGCCGCTGCTTTATTTGAAAGTGTGCCCTCTTTGCCAAAAATGAGAGGACCCCAGAAATCTATAGGGAATAGCAAAAAATAATCTCACCTGTTCTGAAAGTTGCCAGTGTGACCACCAGCCTAAAAAAGCTGCTTATCCCTCCTCTGCTGACAATCTGTTCCCTTAAAATTCAGTGCACAGGTGCTTATCTTTGAAGCTTTAAATAATCCAAATACCTGGAAGAGCACCTAATTCCACGATAATATGTTTATGCTCTAAGATCATTTGGTCCCTGCCTGCCCAGATGCTGGTGGCATTTTGCTTTAGTGCCAGGATTAGGGAATGCTGTCCCAGGAAGTCTGTTTGGCACCAAAGTTGCTTTCTTTGAGTCAAAAGCAGCAGGCAGATTTTATACGTGTGTGTGTTTTAATGTTGTTGGTTTTTTTTCATCGCAAACCACCCTATAATCAAATGTAAGAAAACTTTTTAAAAAGCTTTACCTATCTAGTCGTTACAGTTAATTTTGCACACTTAGTCAGAAACTAGTTCCAACGTCATTTACATCCAGTGACTGCACAGATTTGCCATACTGTTGAAAGAAGAATTCATTAACCTGTGGCAATAATATTTATGTGAAAATGTATAGGGTTTTTTTTCCCCACTTGGTTTTTATGCAGTAGCTTGTTCCAAATGGTTGTAAGAACAATGGTGCATATGCAATTTTCAGCTAGGTTTCCAAATTCCTAAGTGGGGTTGTTAAATCTTGCTGAAAACATGGGACTAGTATCTTACTTTCCATTGCAGTTGTTCTTGATCAAATCCCAGAATGAGGAAGAGGATTTGTCAAGTCCTAACTTGTACATTATGAGAAATTTAATTAGTCAAAGAATGTGTTTGCTTTAGATCTGCTAAGCAGTGTTCCTGATGCCTAAGATATTTCTTTCAGAGCCATAGAACTCAGTGTGCAAATTCCTGAAAGAAAGAGTTTTTCTAGAGGTTTCATTATTTCATTCTAAACAATAATCAGTAGTTGTGTTTCTATTGCTTTACAACACAATAAGAAAAGAGAAAAAATACAAGCATGAACAGGAAAATGCAAAGAAAAGGAACATCAATCTATTTTTGGGTTATAAAATATGGAAAATAGCTCAGCTTTTACATAAAGCATTAAACTCTGACCAAATGATTTTTATTGGCTGGTGTTTCTATTACATGACCCAGATGATGCCTAAGCTGAGAGCAAACACGTAGCATCATTCAAGATACGATCTCACCTGGGATATCGCTATCTTCTGTCATAAAAGGCTACAATGGTTGTTGTTATAAGCTCACAGTATTTTCATAGTGTATTACCATCAAATCCTTAGTGAATATAATAAGACCTATGTACAATTTGCTTATGCCAAAACATTACTTTCTAAACTTTTGTTGTTCTCTTTCACAACTTGCAGAAAGTGAGAACAGCTACTTGCCAAGACTACATAATCACCAGCAACATGTTAAGTAGTACTTTTCTATGCAGATGTCACTATCTGGACTATGTAGTATCATAACTTTAAGTGCCTTATTAATTGTGCATTCAGAATGTTCTCATATTTAATGCTATTCAAAAATTTGTTCATATTAGTGCCATGCAGCAACATTCCCCCACATTTTTCACCCTACCAGTTCTTGTTCAGTCTGATCAAGATAATATGCTTTCAGAATTTATTTTAAAAGGAAAGTGATTTTAGCAATAAATTACCTCCTCTAAAATTACAATTGTTTTTTGTTTCAGGAATTTTACCAAGCATTCCCTAAGAATAAGGAAGTCTGGATAAATTTAAAATAACTTGGAATATCAGAGGATAGTGGAAATTTATTAAATGTTTTGTTAGAACATTGGTTTAGCTATTATACTGTATACCCTGCAAAGTACAAGACAGGAGGCTCAAAAGAATTTGAAAATTGTCAATTTCCCAATTCCAATGCTTTGTACAGAATTAGATTTGAAAAGTGTAGCTGGATCAGCCTGTTTTTCTCTCAAACCTTCAAGATAATTTTGGCATATAAGAACTGAAATATACTGTATGGCATGAATTTTTGTTGAAAGAATCTAGTTCATTCAGTACAGAAGTACAGCCTACTGCTGTACTGGAATATTTCTGGGGTATTCGCAACGAAGATCATTTTTGGCTGTTTGTCTTCCCATATTTGGTGTGTGTTGTTTTTTTGTGAAAGCAGTAATTAAGATATAAACTGTAACCTACTTGTAACTTTTCATGCAACTTAATCCCCCTAAAAAAGTTAACAGAGCTATTTTACGTTTCTGTCTACTGAATTCCTTCTCCTAATGTATAGAAGTATAAACAAATGGAGAAAATCCCATATTCTACAAAAATACAAAGCATCTTTAGAAAAAGCAACAACAACAAATAAGCATTTCACGGATGTTTCTAGAAAGAAAAAAGATGGGAGCAGCATTTGGAAAACACTGAAAACAATGTATTCAGTTAACAGTATCACTAACTTTCCCTTATAACATATCATGAATGAGGTAAGGTGACTGCAGAATAAAAACCCAAATTGGAAGCAGCCTCTATCTTTTCACACTGAAAACTTGAAATAATAATAAAAACCCATTAGTAAATTATGTGTTCACCTTCATGGCTATAGTACATTTTCTGTAATTATTGGCTTTAGTCTAGGTAGAGTGCAAGACTTATCACTGGTGTTTATTCAACTGACAGGTGTTAAATGGTCCTTTTAAGTAGTCAGATTTTTGGCATAACATTTGAAAGAATTTTATGTTTTGAAGCCAGATGAATTCTCCAGCCACAGGACTGCCATTTTGTGCATCCATTGGTAGGAGGGAGGAAACAAGAAAAGCAAAATCTAAAAAAAACAAACAAAAAAACTGAACAGAAACTTAAGGATTAAAAAGGGTGACATATCTGGGAAAACCTGAATATATGACAATCCTACTTTAAAATAATATACAGTCATCATACTTAATAATATCGGATCGTTCTTTCCCCACCATTTTATCCTCTCAACATCTCTCTGAAATAGGTTAGGCTGAGACTCAATGAGAGAAAGCAACTGCATTTCATGAATGGGTAGGAATTACTACTTGGACTCTCCCAGTCCTGGCCTAATTACTATAGCAAACTGCTGAGTTCTTGCAGTGTTCTTCATAACATCACTGGGTATTCATTTTCATTGTTTTTTAGCCTTTTATAGTGAAAACATTATTGTGCCTCCATTTTTTTCAAGTTATATATGGTGATGAATGGATAGCTGCGTTGTTGTCAAAACGTGTCAGACAGAGAGTCACTTGGATTGAGATGGACGGCTATAGAAATTGCATAAATAAAAATCAAAACTGAATTTAAAAAAAAAACACTTTAAAATCCAGGAGTTTAAACCTACTAATTTGCAAAGGGAAATAATGGAATAATGGAAGGAATTGTATGAAGTTATGTAAGAAGAGGAGTGGAAATCAGCATCCACCCCAGTAACATAAGGACTTCTCCATACAACATATTCCTTGCGACTCATTCCATACACTCACACTGTATGAAGATACATTGCTATCACATGAGTTAGCAGATGCTGAATCAGATTCATGCCCCTTGCCAGAGTGTCCTCTTTTTGGAAAGTTCACAAAGGGTATCAAGGCGCAGGGAAACAACAGCAGGAAAGAATCACTGCCTTGCTTGGGGCTTCCCAAATGCAAGTTATTATTTACTATGAGAAGCTGATATTTGAACTAGATGGGCCTTTACCTAAATCAGGGCTGCTCTTCTTATGTAACCAAGCTGATTAATGCCTTGGGGGAAAGGTAAATATAAATGTGTAACAAATACAAAATAATGATAATATTGAAAAATATGCCAAGTATGGTTCAATCATTTCCTTCCATGTATTATAAGAATACTTAAAATGGAGCTGGAATATTCTGTATTGCATTGATTTAATTTTAATAAACTTCAGAGACTATTTCAATTAATGACAAAACTTAGCAATGTTAATGAGATCATAAAGTTTTAAATTCTGTCCCTACTATATTCTTGGGATGAAAAGCCATGGAGACTACAGCAATGTGTCAGTATTTTTATTTTTAGAAGTACTCAAGGTAAGAAAGAAAAATCATATATTTCTAGGACATACTTGAGTGGATGGAAATCACAAACACCAAGCATGATACTGGAGTTGGAAATGTTTTCCTATGTTTTACTGTACTGTATGATACTGAGAGCCAATAAATAAACTCCTGAAAGTTAATAAATAGCATTTTAAGTATCTCACAAATTAAAAAGAAAGCACCACTGATAGTCATCCTACCCCTTTACAAGAGCTACATTAGCATAACGCATGTTAGCATAACATCCCTATTTGGGTTTATGACATATGGGTACATTACTCCAGTTATATATACTAGAAAAATATAATGTTCTTTCCACTTTGGTCATTACATGGGCTAGCAAACAAATAGCCTGAGAATGATCCTAAAATGAAGGTTTCAGTGAGAAACACAAAATATAAAATGAAGGTCTTTCTTCGTAACACTGCAAACTGGAGTTGACAAAATACATCTAAGCTTTCTGTTATCAAGGATTTATAAAAGTGTGATTTAGGATGTACTCACCTAGGCTTCCTGAAACTAAAAACAGAAAGAGAGAACTCCTTTTCCCAAGTCCTTCGCTGCCTTTCACTCCTTCTCTGTGTTGGGATCCTTTCCCCCCTGGATCACATGAAAGAGTTCTATTAATGTGAATTGGCTTAGGTTGAAAACACTGGGCTGGATAACACCGAAGGGTAAGGAATCTGACCCGGGAGCTCTAAGCTGCACTACGTCACTACTCTACAGGAGCTGTCGGCTCCTGAATGGGAAAATATTACAAAGGAAAGGAAGTACATATATCCTGGGAGGTTCTGCAAGCTGGCACCAGCATGCTTCAGAACGAGGTCTGGTGCTGGTGTGTATTTTCTCTCGCATAGCCTTGATGGATTTTTTACTCTGTATATTTCTGGTTTCAGTCGTTGATGTATGTGTGTGTGTGTGTGTGTGTGTGTATACACTGTTCTATATACAGGTGCAGTATATAGGTGTTTATATTTCTATAAATGTGTGTGTGTATACACATCCATATCCCTTTTTGCCTGCGTATCATGATAGAATTATAACGGTAAGCAGAATTATAATGGTAAGCAAGCACCCCTGCCTATACCCAAAACCTGTGGCATCCTTGCCAAAAATTAAAGTTTACATGCATAATATTGAGTAAACACACTATACAGCATATATATATATATATATATATA